CTTGAAAAACCAAAAAAAAAAAAAAGAAAAAGAAAATATAGAAAACTATTAGCTTTTATTATTATGATGATGATGATGACGACGATGATGATGTTTTGCAGCACTGGGGGTCAAACCCAGGGCTTTGCACATGTTAGGCAAGCCTCTCTCTATTACTGAGCTGTATCCTCAGCTTTCTTTTCACCTTTTTTTTAAATTAAATTATTTATTTATTTATCTATCTATTTATTATTTATTTATTTGGCAGGGTCTCTCTGCGCATCCCTGGCTGTCCGGGAACTCGACTCAGAAATCTGCCTGCCTCTGCCTTCTGAACACTGGGACTAAAAGTGTGCCCCGACGTGCCTAGCTTACGTTTTATTTAAAGGCAGGGTCTCGCTGTTCGAACTTCCTGTACAGCCTAAGCCGACTTTTAACTTCCTGTACAGCCGAGAGCCAGCATCGAATTTACATTCCTCCTGCCTCAGCCTCCAGGTAGCTGGGAGGACAGGCAAGAGGCTGGGGAGGAGGGACTTTAACAGGAACAGTGATTTTTCTCCATCATCCACGTGTTTTCTTTTTTCCTTTCCTTTTGGTTTTTGATTGTTTTTGAGACAGGGTCTCTCTGCGCTGCCCTAGCTATCTTGGAACTCACTTTGTAGACCACGCTGGCCTCAAACTCACAGAGATCCACCTGGCTCTGCCTCTCAAGTGCTGGGATTAAAGGCGTGCGCCACCACTGCTCAGCCCATATGTTTTTGTAACCTGGCCCTTCTTAATTCTTTTTTGACTCTGCCCAGCAGCTGCCTGTATAGAGAGGGCTCTTCCCTATTTCCTGCTTCCCAATGGAAGGTAAATCAAACATGGGCACTTGAAGTCCCTCCCAGCCCACCACAGGCCATGCTCAATAACCTGCTCCCCGACCTTTGCTATGGCCCAGATCCCTTATCTGTAGAAAGGAAGAATTCCGCAGCCTCGGCCTGTTTCACAACACTGTGGTTGGGTGCAAACCAGAAAGAAGCAGGCGGGTTCACAGGACATTTCCAAAGGCGCTTGTAATCGCCTTTGTAATTTGCTAATCCCTCAAAGGAGCAAACCAGATCTGGCCCCTGTCTCATTGAGAAAGCCCAGCTCCCAAATGATGGATTGGCCCCCAGCTAGCACATGGCACAGTGTGCCTGCACCCCTAAGCTCTGGAAACTGTCACCTACGTGGGCATCCCGTGGCCCAACCCCGTGGAGCTGAAGATGTGAATCAAAGCCACCGGATAGCCCCAGAGAGGGTGATGTAATGAACGAAGAACCAAGGGGAAGTGGCTGGTTCCAGAGCCTGTCAAGCGGGAGTCAAGAAGAAAATACCAAAATCGAAATGGAGCACACCTGTGGGTCCACAGGCTAAGACTCACACAGGAGGGTATGTGCTCTCTGTAGCCTGAGACAAAGGAAGTGGCCGGTCAACAGAGGACTCGGTAAACAAAGGAATACCTCACAGTGTGTGTGGGGAGGGGGTAGTAGTGGGGGGGGGCAGTAACAGATTGGCATGGTCTGCCTGTCATGCAGAAACCTTTGAACAGGGCAGGGAAGACAGCTCAGTGCTTCCTAGAGGATCTCGTCCTGCTTCCCAGAACCCGAACAAAAGCTGAACACTAAGCCAGGTGTGGCACATGCACGCACGCATGCACACCTTTAGTCCCAGCACTGGGGAGGCAGAGGCAGGTGGATTCCTGAGTTTGAAGCCAGCCTGGTGTACAGAGCAAATTCCAGGGAGCCAGGGCTACACAGAGAAAATGTGTCTCAAACAAACAAACAAACAAACAAAAACAACAACCTCAAAAAGAAAACAAAAACAAACAAACAAACAAAAACACTGAGCACAGTAGTTCATGTCTGGAACCCCAGCACCGGGGTGGGCGGAGACAGGCAGATTCCCAAGGATTCACTAGCCAGCGTCCAGCAGAAAAGGTACACCCCATGTCCAGTGAGAGAGCCTGTCTCAAAAAATAAGGTGGACAGCAATCGAGGAAGACACCCGACATCAACCTCTGGCCTCGACTTGTGTAGTAAGCCCAGCCACACACCACACACACACACACACACACACACACACACACACACACCTTTGAGAACTAACACTGAACAGAAAAACCATACTACTTAAGCCAGGCACAGTGGTGCTCATTTTTAATCCCAGTACTCAAGAGGTAGCCATATGTAGATCTCTGTGAGTTTGAGGCCTGGGCTACACAGTGAGAACCTGACTCAAAAAATAGAAAGAGAGAGAGAGAAAGAGAGAGAGAGAGAGAAAGGCACATGCTATGCAGTTCAGGTTTGTTTGTTGTTGTTGTTGTTGATTTATTTATTTATTTTGATTTTTTTGAGACAGGGTTTCTCTGTGTAGTTTGGCTGCCTTGGAACTCACTCTGTAGACCAGGCTGGCCTCAAACTCACAGAGATCCGCCTGCCTCTGCCTCCCGAGTGCTGGGATTAAAGGCGTGCGCCAACGCCGCCACCACCCGGCCCAGTTCAGGTTTTATAAAATATGTCCATCAGAGTTGGAGAGGTGGCTCAGGGAGCAGAGTGCTTGCTGGGCAAACAGGACCTGCGTTTAAACCCCGAGCACCACATTAAATGTTGGGCACCGCTGAGAGTGACCCTGTAATCCCAGTGCTATGGGAAGGCAGAGACAGGAGGATGACTGGGGCTTGCTGGTCGCCTACCTGGTTCATATACAAGTACATGCATGTGCACACCACACACACACACACACACACACACACACACACACACACACACGATTGTATATACATATATAGAAAGGTCTAAAAACGATACCATACCTATGATAATAACATCAGAAGAAATTTCTCTTTTTTCTGTGTATGTCTGTGTGTCTGTGTATGTGTGTTGTGTGGGTGTTATGTTTGTGTTGGAACCCAGGGCCAGTTACATGCTGGGTAACTGCTACCATCACTGAGCTATAGACCCAGCCCTGATTTTTTTCTTTACAATTTATTTATTTTTAATTTTATGACAATGGCGTTTTGCCTACATGTATGTATGCGTGAGGAGTTGCAGAGAGTTGTGAGTTACCATGTGGGTGCTGGGAATTGAACCCGGGTCCTCTGGAAAAACACCTCTGAGCCATCTCTACAGCACCTTGTTTTGTTTTTTGTTTTTTTTGTTTCTTAAACCAAGTATTCCTGCCTTTTATACATCAACTTCTTTAACTGACAAAAAAAAAAAAAAACCCGCATAAAACATGAAAATTCATAAAAACAAGGCTTCCATTCAAGTCGCAAAGAACGAAAGTGGCCAAAGTCAACTCCGAGGTCCCCCTCCCTGCTCCCCTCCGCCCCCGTCCTCCAGCCCGCTCCTGAAGTGAGCTTTCTTCTCCTCCAGGAGGTCGGCTACACTCCAGCCGGGGCGTCTAAGAAGCGGCTGTCTTGGGCTAGGCGTGTCCTCCTGTCTTCCTTCCTTCACGCCACTCAGCCCCCAACCAATCGCCTTTGGGATTTTCACTCGTCGGGTGCTGGAAGCCGCTCACTCAAACTTAAAGCCCCAAGCTTCTAGCTGTAGGACAGCTCAGCCAAACATGGCTTTCCTTCTCAAAGCCCGGGGCAGACAGATGCCCCCCGCCCCACTGACCCGACAGGCATGCGCAGTCCCAACGCTAACACGTTAACTCCCCACCACCCCACCACCCCCACCCCGGCAGACGCCAACCCAATAAAGAAAACACTCCTGAGAGGAGCCCGGGAACCAGCTGAGACTCCCCCCTCACCCCCAAACAGGAGAGCTGGGGTCACTTGCTCACTCCACCCGCTGCAAGCGGGGTGAGGAACAGGCAGCCAGTCCACGTGTTGGGTCCTGGCGTGGCTGAAAACCAAGACTGTCACTGAGACAAGGCTGTCACTGCTAACTTTGCTAATTCTGAGGTTCCAACGGAAAAGGGTTTTCCTCCGCCCCAGACACGGCAACCCCTGGGACCCTGGGACGTCTTTGCCATCAGACCCGAGGGTCTTCAGGAGCAAGGGTTAAAAATTCAAAGCACTAAAAACGACAGTGTGGCCAAGAGGATTCAGAAGTGCCCACCAGAACTCCAGGAAAGCCACCTGTGGCTCCATCTGGAAGGCCAGTCAGGTCCTGGGAGGCGGCAGTCAGGGCCTAAGAAGGAGCAAACTTCATTCATTCTCTCCTTCATTCACCCTACGACGGGGCACAGTACACTAAGCCATTCTTAGATTCCCAGTAAACAAACCCGCTAAGGGGAAAGATGTCAATCAACCCATGTGACAACAGCCTCTTCTATATCCCAGGTCCAGTTCTAACTAAATGGTCCCTAAAGGCCAGCCTCGGTTTCCCCTTCCGGGGTAGCCTAGCGTCTCAGAAGCACCCTTAGCTGGAGTGTAATGACACGGTAATCTCCAGGACTTAATGAGCTCCGGGCTCATTCGGAGAACACAGGCTCCCAGGGCAGAGTCTGTGGCTTGGCCGGCACCGCCCAATATAGGTCCCCGGTTGAAAGGGCAACGGGACCTAAGGCTGAGTGAGATCAAGAGAGAGGCCCGGCTGCCTGCCCTCACCGACCTGGGTACTGGCTGCCTCTGCCAGAGCGTGGGGAGGAAAGCGGCTTAACTCTCCAGACTGGCAGGCAGTGTGGGGGCGAGCCAGGGCATCGCTGGGGCATCTGGGCGGGAGGAGACAGGCAGAACACCCACTGGGGACTGGGCGTCCGTGGGAGCCTCACAGAGAGGTACCAGGGGACACCAGCTGCCCACAGCCCTGAGGTCACTAGGTACAGTCACCGGCCGGGATGCGTAGAAGGGCTGGAGGTCAGGGCAGCAGCAATCGAAACTCGGACAACCAGGCCACACTTCTGCTCCAGCGAGGGTCAGGCCCCTGGGACGCTGGTGACTCAGACCTCCAAGCCTCCCGAGTGAGCCTGGGCCTCCCAGGTGGTGGGAAGGGTAGCGCCAGTGTCCCATCCTGCGTCCCGCTCCCCCCGGAGGACGAGTCACTCACCTTCAGCACCTGCTGCTTGATGAGCGAGGGCACCAAGAGGATCATGACAACACCGAGCGCAGCGCACAGCACCCCCAGGACGCCCACCGCCACCGCCACCCAGCGCGCCCTGGCGCTGCCGCCCATGTCCGCGTGCGCGGCCGGGGCTCGCGGGGCTCCGGGCCTGAAGGGGACAGCAACAGAGGCGACGGAGGCCACAGAGATGACAGAAGCCGAGGCTCAAGCTTCAGCAAGGTGAGTCCCAGTCGGTGGCCGGCGCAGCAGGAGCCCTGCAGGTGGCCAGAGGCTTTATGCGCCATGGCCCGGGCAGCCCGCCCCCTCGCGCAGCGCGGGATTCCGGAGGGGGTGGGTGGGCGGGGAGTGGGCGGTGCTCTAGTGGCGAGTCATGGGCGTGGCCTCCGTCTGGAGCGGCCCCTCCGAGTTCCGCAGCTCTCTGAACCAGTGCACGGTGCGCCTGGATTCCCGCTGCGCGCTCCGGATTGCGCTTCCTTGTGTCTCTCGCTTGTCCAAGTGGGAACCGATGCGCTCCCCATAGAGCGCAGAAGCCCCTGGCACCATCTGCACTGGCTAGCCACCCCTACTCCTGTGATCTCGTCTTTCTCCGGATGCGAATGCCTCCGGCTCCAGCATCCCTGGCCTTGCAACAGTTGCAGTCGGCTGGGGCCTGCCTGCCTCCGGGCCATGCACGCCCTCCACTCGGAATTCCGGGCCCCTCCCGGCCTTTGGACGCCCTCCATTCCGTGTTCCTCCCGGCCTTTGCACGCTGTCCACTCGGAATTCCGTGTCTTTCGGGACCTTTGCACATCCTCCACTCGGAATTCCGCGTCCTTCACGGTCTTTGCACACCCTCCACTCAGAATTCCAGGCCCCAGACACCCGCTGGGGCCCTGACTCCATCCGGGAAGGTGTTCTAGGGGCTTATCAGGCAGAGATACCTCGCCTGGCCACTATGCTCTCTGGCGACTCTTCCTTATCATCCAGCGCCACCGGCTCAGTTGCGCTCAGTTGGACTTTTTTTTTTTTTTTTGTCATAAACCCCACGCAAGATACCAGCAGGGAGGTGAGGACTCTGTATTTCCCCGACCTGCCCAGGGCTCAGTTAGCTCATGCCCAGCACATAGCCAGGGCCTTTGATTCAAAGTTTCTCAACCGGTGTGGGGGGGTCGCGACCCCTTTGGGAGCTCTAAGATAATCGGAAATATCAGATATTTACATTACGATTCACAAGGGTAATAAAATTACAGTTATGAAGTAGCAAAGGAAATAATTTTATGGTTGGGAGGGTCACCACAACATGAGGAACTGTATTAAAGGGGCAAAGCATTAATTAGGAAGTTCAGAACCACCACTCTAGTCCTAACCGCCCTGTGCTACTACCAAGAAAACTGAGGCACAGGGCGACTTACTCAGCGAGGCCAAGGCCTGCTTCCCACTCAGGACATGAAGGGTGGATAATCGCAGCTGAGAAAACCCAGTCTGGCACGTGTAGGGTGTCACCACCTCCTCCTGGCAACCTTTTACAGACCAGGTCCTTGGCTCCCTCAAGGGTGCTGCTGCCCTATAAGACTCCTCCTGCCCGGCGGTGGTGGCACACGCCTTTAATCCCAGCACTCGGGAGGCAGAGCTAGGTGGATCTCTGTGAGTTCAAGGCCAGCCTGGTCTACAGAGCGAGATCCAGGAAAGGCGCAAAGCTAACAGAGAAACCCTGTCTCGAAAAACCAAAAAAAAAAAAGACTCCTCCTGGGTCACACGAGGATGACCCAGCAGTATCCCTGACATCAGATACCTCAAGTTAATACTCCTAAGAACATGGGCCACTCCAGCCCCGCCCTCCCCCTCCCCCAAATCCCAGAAGAACTCCTCTTGGAACCATCTTCAGCAAAATGTCCCCAAGTGAGGATTTACTGAGCATCTGGTAAATTCTGGAGAGACAGCCAGGTCATACTTCCAGCCCTGACCTCCATCAGGGGCATGGGATGGGAACAGGTGCGGAGGAATCTGGACTGTGAAGACTCCCACCTCAGAGTCCTGAGGCCCCTCTGCACCTCATGCCCTCTTCTATAACGAGTAAGTGATCAGAACTGCTCTCAGGCTGCACTCGATTGAGAGACTTAAGCCGGTTGGTGGCTGGCCAACCTCTGAACCTGGAATAGGCAGTATGATTCAATTGATAGCCCAAGGCCCCGCCCACCTCTGGCCCCGCCCACCTCTGCCCCTGCCCCTGGGTCCACTGGACTTGCAGCCCCCTCTCTTTCTCCTGTGTCTATGTGGGTGCACCTGGACGTGCTGTTTGAGACAGAATATCCTACTGGGACCTGGCTGGCCATCCAGCCCTGAGGGTCTTCCCTTCTGTCTCTGCCTCCCCAGCACCGGAACTGCCAGCCTAGAGTTCGTTTGTTTTAGATTTATTTATTTTTTTTTTTTTAAAGATTTATTTATTTATTAATGTATACAATGTTCTGTCTGCCTGTATCCCTGCAGGCCAGAAGAGGGCACCAGATCTCATTGCAGATGGTTGTGAGCCACCATGTGGTTGCTGGGAATTGAACTCAGGACCTCTAGAAGAGCAGTCAGTGTTTTAGATTTATTTTATGTGTACAAGTGTCTTCCCTTCCGGTATGTCTGTGCACCATGTGCATGCCTGGTGCCCTCAGAGGTCAGAAGAGGTCGTCGGATCTCCTGGAACTGTAGTTATGGGTGGTTGTGAGCTGCCATGTGGGTGCTGGGAACTGAACCCAGACCTCCCTCTGCAAGAGCTGCAAGTGCTCTTAACCACTGAGCCATCTCTTCGGTCCTGTGCGCTTTATTTGCATACGGATGCTGGGGCCCAATCTCAGGCCTTCAGGTTCCTGTGGCAAGCCCTCTACCAGCATCTCCAGCTCCCCGGCTGGCTTACTCTTGTCTTTATGCTAGCTGTTCTTCATTCTACACGACTGCTTCTCTAGATCCTTCCGCGGGCTGGCTCCTTCTTTCCTCAACCCAAAACCTGCTCATCAAAGGCGTCTTTGTGTCTCATCTGTTGAAAATGGGAGTCCTTACAGGCATGGTGGTGCATTCCTGTAATCCTAGCACATGGGAGGTAGAAGTAGGAGAAGCAGGAGTTCGAGGCCAGCCTTGGATACACAGGAAGTTCAAGGCCAACCTGGGCTACATGAAAACCTGTCTCAAAAAAGCCAAAGAAAGGGGCTGGTGAGGTGACTCAGCAAGACACAAGTCTGACAACCTGAGCTGGAATCCAAGAACCCGTGGTGACAGAGAGAACAGACTCAGGTGCCATGGCAAACCCCTACAAGAATAATTAATAAAATTCAAATTGAAAGAAAAAGGAGTGTTCATTTAAAATAGTTTTATGTCTCTCTAGAGATGAATTTGTTGATTTTTTTTTTCATTTTTCAAGACAGGGTTTCTCTGTGTAACAGTCCTGGCTGTCCTGGAACCCACTATGTAGACCAGGCTGATCTTCAACTCAGAGACCCACCTGCCTCTGCCTCCCTAGTGCTGGGATTAAAGGTATGCACCACCACCACCACCACCCGGCTTTATTTATGTATGATTTATTTTTGTGTATTTGTGCAGTTTCACAAGAAGGCCGGAAGAGGGAGTCTAACTCTAACTGGAGTTACAGGCAGTCGTGAGCCACCATGTGGGTGCTGGGAACCCAACTCAGATCTGCTGCTAGAGCTCCAAGTGCTCTTAACCACTGAGCCATCTCTCCATCCCAGATATTGGTCTCTTTTTAAGTATCAATGCATCCCTGGCCCCTAGAGCCACGCCTAGCAAACTACCAAGCAGGTACTGGGTCAAAAAATTAAGCATTCGGGGCTGGAGAGATGGCTTAGTGGTTAAGAACACTGGCTGCTCTTCTTGAGAACCCAGGTTCAATTCCCAGCAACCACATGGTAGCTCACAACTGTCTGTAACTCCTGTTCTAGGGGATGCTCCTACAAACATATATGCAGGCAAAACACCAATGTATAGAAAATACAAATAAATAAATTATTTTTAAAAAATTAAGCATTAAGTTGGCAAGATGCTTCACTGAATAAAGGCATTTCCTGTCAAACCTGATGAAGTAAGTTCAATCCCCAGGACCCACTTAGTGGAAGTCAAGAACTGACTCCCACAAACAAGTTGTCCTCTGATCTCCAAGGCACATACACACAAAATAAATACATGTGGCCAGGCATGGCAGCACACACCTTTAATGCCAGCACTGAAGAAAGAGGCAGAGGCAGGTGGATCTCTGTGAGTTCAAGGCCAGCCTGGTCTACCTAGCCAGGGCTACATAGTGAGACCTTATTTAAAAAACAAATAAACAAGAAATAAAATGATAAAATAAAATAAAAATGTAAAACACTTTTTAAATGCTTAAGCAAACCTTTAGGGAACCCATTCATTTATTTGTTAATCATGAACTCACTGATCATTCAGTTACTAAAATTTCACTGAAGGGGGCTGGAAAGATGACCCAGTGATTAAAAGCACTCGCTGCTCTTCCTGAGAACACGGGTTTGGCTCCCAGCACTCACGTTGGGCAGCTCACAACCATCCTTAACTCCAGTTCCAGGGGATCTGACCCCTCCTCTGGCCTCCTCAGGCACCTGCACTCATGTACACAAATGCACACAGAGACATAATTAAAAAGTAAGAGACATAATTAAAAAGTAAGCCTTTAAAAATAAGATGTCCTTGAGTCCCTTGAGGCCTTCAACATCCTTGATAGCGTAAGGCTCTGTACTAAAAGGAGCCCTTCGAATGGGGTCTTTAGTACACGACTTAACCCACACTCTTTCTCTGACCTTGTGCTGGTGAGTTTTGTCAACTGGACAAAACTCTGGGTTGTTTTATTTCTGATGACGCCAGTGGTTCCTGGGAATTTGCCAGTCAGCGGAAAGCTCAGGTCTGTGGTGGGTGATTGAACTCCCGGGGGGCCCCCGACAACCCCCTTCCTTGATACCCACTTGCCTTGAGCAACTCACGCAGTCCAAAATGTCTCTGAGTCTTCAAGGTCCAAATTTACGTGATGCTTACTTCAGAGAGCTCTGGCCCTGGCCTTGGGTTCTGGGGACAAGCTACTCTGTCATTGGATGACACACACAGAGAGAACAGACATGAAAGGATGGGCAACGTGGGTGACCAAATCCTGACCTTGCTGAGGGGAGTCTGAGAGACAACACAGGATGGCCTAGGATGGGAGGGGAAGGTCGGTTCCGGGTGGCTGAGGAGGCCTGCAAAGGAGGCTCACCCAGGAAGGGCCTGCTCTAGTCAGCTTTCTATTGCTGGGATAACAAAGGCA